TTCTTCTTCCCATCAATGTTTATCTTGCTTTGATTTGCATAATACTTACGCTCAATTAGAAAAGATTTGCTGATTGCCTGGATGTTTCTTATACCCCAAAGAACAGGACTAGTTGTTTCTACTGGGTTTTTTTTAATGGTGCTGAAGATAATTCTGTGCTCCAGTGATTACCATATACAGTGAAAGGTTAAGGTAGGAGGTGCACAGACAGGCTAAATAGCCATCTCAGACAGTGAATAAAGAAAAACTGAATTCATTTAAGGAAAAGGGGATAGGGGATGGGGATATACAAAGGGAAGGACTATGCACCACTGAGTCAAAGGGTATTGGGGCCATGATGGCAGCAAAAATACACTTGGGACAGTGAGACAAGGGAAAGCCTACAAGAAGCAACAGGAGCACCTAGGCTGGGGTGCTCTGACGCACTGAGAAGTCAGAGAGAAGGGGGCCTTGGAGACAGGTTCAGGGGGTACCCTTGGAGGGAAGAAGGAATTAGAGATGGCGCTGGTCTGCTTCCCTGGTGGTGGAAATCTTAGGGGAGGTCTAAGGGGAATGTCTCAGAATATTCATCAGCTCTCCAGGTGTGCTCTTTCAGGGTCCTGGTCTCCACTGATTGGTGGGTGCCAGGGCAGGGGGTCATCAGTCCATGTATCTGGTCCTGAGGCAGCCAAGGCACCACTTGTCTGGTTTTGCTGCTTTTCTGAGCCTGGAGCTGAAATACGACTGAGGCCTAGATGTTATCTGTAGGGAGGAAACGCTCAGGGGGTCTAAACCACATGACCATCGAAATGCTGGGGGAGGACAGGTTACTCTGGGGACAAGGTTCTTGTTTTCCCAGTTTCACTCCTTGCTAGGCATCCAGGGCTTCCTGCCCTGGTGAGTTTCTGTACCTGGCCCATCCAACATACAGGATGGGGCAAAAGTAGGTTTACAGTTGTTCATACGGAAAATAACACAGTAATAATACAAGGACAATATAGTTGAGAGTTTAATATAGTTGAGAGTATGTTTCCCATACTCTCAACTATATTAAAATAACTTTCATCTTGCTGGGTCATTCTCATTTCTCAAACTAAAGAGTCACATGCACTTGATTTTGGTAGTCTATCAAAAACTACTTCAGTGGTTGATACTCTATCAAAATATTGGTCTACTGGTTCTCAACCCTGGCTGCTCACTCAGATCAACTGAGAAGCTTTTAAAACTACCAGTACCCAGGCCTCACCATAGATCAACTGAAATAGAATCTTTGCAGGTATGCCCAGGAAATGATTTGCATATATCATACTGATATTTAATTTGCACCTATTGATTTGTACAACTTCACTCTTAATAGATTTTTCTAAAGAATGAGCATGTTCAAATATAGTTTCGTTGTTCTTAGAATCACAAAATTTTAGAACTGAGAGAGAACTAAATTAATATCTGACTCAATTCCTTTATTTCACAGCTGAGGACACTGTGGCTTAAGAAAGGTTGAGTGACAGGTCATATCTTGAATTAGTGGAATTTTCTGAATTCCAATTCTGGAGCTGTAGTGACTAGACTAAGCTGTTCAGTTTTTAAATTTCTGCTTCTAAAGAAAAGGTGTAAAAATTATCGCATGTGGAAGATCTGGATTTTAAAAGCTGTCAGTACCAGGTACTCCTTAAAGACCTTCAATTTGGCACATTCCAACTTACCCATTGTCATGGCAGAGGAAGTGCCACAGCAGGATATATATCAAAGTCCAAAATAAATGACTAGTATCTATCTTCAGGCTTGTTCACTGGCCCTGACCTATAGGTCCATAACATTTTACCCTGTCAGAACCCAGAGCACTTCTAGCCCTTAACTATACCAGTTATTAGCCAACTTATTGCTTATGAGCAAACTGATCAACACCCTGAACTTCCCTTTTCTCTATAAAAAGAAAGATAGTGCCTGTCCTATTGACCTTGTGTTTTTTTAAGCTATTTTAAGGATTAAATCAGATTATCTATGTGGAGATATTTTGAGACTGGTAAAGCACTATTGATATATATGTATAGAATTATTATATTACCATCTTTCCAAACAATGGCTTGTGACTAAGTATTTGCTGCTTTGATTACCCAGTCTCTAAATTCTAATTCCTTCATACCATGCCACCCAAGAATCAACAGGAACTGGAGCTAGTGCTGGACTAGAGGCTCTAGTCACTGAAAGTATCACATAACTAAATATTCAGGGAGGTAAAGTGACGTAGTGACCCAGGATTTAGCTAGTCTAGGCTCTAGTCCCAGAGTCTGCTTTTAACTATTGATTTTGGACAAGTCACTTAATTTTTCTGGGACCAGAGTCTCGTCAGTGGTCAAAGGATGACTTGAATTAAAGTCAAAGATCCTTTTGATTTATAAAATCAGAATATTAGTGCTTAATTAAAATTACTAAAGTGCAATTTCCCAAGCCATTAATTCATGTGGTTTTGCATTTTTTAAATCTCTTTTTAAAAGTACAGGGTTGGAGCCTAAAAACATAAGCCTATTTCTGTTAAATAGACATTTCAAACACATGTGTAAGACTCTCTTTGAAAGACACAGCTCTACTCAGATACTTTATGCTTGTTAGTATCCTGTCCGGGAGCCCTTGCTCCAAAAATAAATATATGGTTACCCAAAAAGCACAAAATACAGTACTGGATACAGAGTAGGCACCCAAATACTGTTATGTTATAGCTCTTAGTTTGAGTCCCATCTTGAGCCTGTTTCTTATCTATAACTGGGAACAATACCTTCCTCAAGGATCTACTGAGATAGTATATATTAAAATGTTTTGTAAACTGTTCAAAACGACTACAAGATGTTACTATTACCTAAGGAATATAGCTTACTATAGCATGACCTTTCTAAAAAGTGTGCTCTCTCACGAGATAGACTAAAATCTTTCTGACTTAGTTTATTACAGACACAGCTCCTACCCCAATGCCTTGGCTCAACAAATAGGCTCAATAAATGTTTGCTGCATGAAAAATATAATCCACAGAAAGACGTACAGCTCCATGAGCTCATGTTCCATATTTGATTGTATCTCCAAATTCCCAAAGCCTAGCACAATATCTGACACATAGAAGAAACTCGGCAATTATTGGGCGAATACATTTTTGTCCCCTCTAGTTCCTCTTCAGCACAGCGCTCAAGAGGTAGAGGCGGGCAGGGGAGGCATGACAGGTGATTTCTGGTCAAGGCTGCTAGGCATGGAAAACTGGAAATCACCTGGAGAATTCACCCACTCTCTAACAAAGAGCTTGGGAGAGAAAGAGAAACACAGAGTTCAAATTCAGTTCCTAAATTCTGCAATTTGGGTAAATTAACTTATTGGCCTCTCCAAGACCCAGGTTCCCTCATCCTCAAGTGAAAATAGCACCTCCTCATAGGTTAAGCACTGGAACTGAAGCTCCATCCCGGCAGGGACTTCACTTGGGGCCCACTGTGTCTACACCGCAGGTCCTGGGCTGCATGCAGCAGCGCCGGGCACAGCGCCGGTTCTCAAGTATTTGCTGACTGACTTTGTGAGACACTGACTGAGGCGATACAGCCAAAGCAACAGAAAGCCTGCGCTTAGTAAACCTGAGCCTACACAGAAAGCGCTTCCCAGGCAAGAAAAAGTTGGAGGAGTTAGTTCACCACCACCAAGCCAGTACTGCACGAAATGTTACCGGTTCTTTTTTGAGGAGAAAAAAAAAGATAAAACATATGACCAATAAAATGGCAATCAACGCGTATCAACAGTTGAATCTAAAAAGCAAAATAAGCAAGCCGAACAGAAACAGACTCAAAGAGACAGACACCACTTTGGAGGGTGCTAGATGGGAGAGGAGGGGGGGGATGGGTGGAAAGGCGACGGGAATTAAAAAGTACAGATTGGTTGTTACAGGACAGTCCTAGGGATCTGAAGAACAGCAGAGGGAGTGCAGCCAACAATACTCTAACGATTATGCGTGGTGTCAGATGGGCACAAGGTATGTCGGGACGATCACCTCGCGGGTTATGTAATTAATGTCGAATCACTGGGGTGCACACCTGAAACTAAAACAGGATTGTATGTCAATCACTGAAAAATTAAAAAAATGATTTTAAAAAAGGTATCCAAAAAATCGCCGCGTCCCCTTTCATCTAGATAATTACCTGCAATTTCCCACATTACTGTAGCTGAACACATTACATGACCGCAAACAAGGGAGGAAGGAAAGAATTGGAGAGAGACCGAAACCGCTGAACGAGAAAAGAGGGCTTTAAACCGGTGCTTCACAGTTCCCACCAAAGAGTGCCAGTTTCCGCGAACGGCAACCAGTCCAACCAGCCACGGCTCCAGCAGGACAGTCAGCTCCGTAAGGAACAAAAAGGAGGCAGGGCGGACGCTCAGATCCACCCCCTAACGGTTTCTTGGCCGCTGGCCTCAGGGGCCGCCGGACTCCCATTTCCGGCCTTAGCAGGACCACAGTTCCCAGCACGCCTTTGGAGGGAAGTCTTTCCCGCTGGATGACTACTAATCCCGGCATGCAATTCGGCACTCCAGTATATTAGATGGAATAGTGGAATGACCCTATTGCACGCCGGGAATTGTAGTTCGTTTTTGCTGCTGTCGCTTAGACAGGCGGGGAAGAGCCGGGTCGTTCTCGTCAGCTGAGAAGAATGATTCATAGAGGGGGGCCAGGAGAGAACGGTTCTGTCTGTGAAAGCCCACGGAAAAGGCTGGATTCTTCTTCGGGGGAGGGAGAGGCAGAAAAGCAAGCAGGACGTCAGGCCTGACCAGCCCTCAGGCCGCTCGGCAGGCCTCCGTAGAGTCCTGGGCCTTGTAGGGGGCGGCCGCGAGACGCTGGTTGCCGGGGGACCGGTGACGTCGCGGGGTGAAAGTTGAGGGGCGGTGACGTCGGGCCTGCCCGGGCGGAGGCTGGCGGGTTGGAGGCTGGAGGGGAGGGAGGGAAGGAGGGAAGGAAGGAAGCTGGGAAGGAGCGAGCGAGCGGGGGCGCGAGGCGTTTACCTGGAGGCAGCGGCTTGGGCGCGCGGAGCGGCCGCGGCTCCCCCGCACCTGCGGCCATGGATGAGGAGCGCGCCCTGTACATCGTCCGGGTCGGCGAGGCGGGGGCTATCGAGCGGGTCCTGAGGGATTACAGCGATAAGGTAAAGAGCCCTGGCCCCGGGCTTGCGGTGTAGCACCCCCGGGCCGCCCTCGGGGCTTGCACCGCGCATCCCTCCCCACCCCCCCTCATTCCGGGGATGCGCATTGCTCTCCCCCGAAAATGTTTCCGGCTTGGGCATGCGTGTTTGTGCCCCCAGCCTTTCCCGTCCGTGCATCCCGTATCCCCCTGCCCCCACTCCGGCGCCCACTCCTCAGATTCCGGCCCAGCAGCCCGTCCTGCGGTCCTCCTCCCGAGCGCGCAAGTCACACCCCCGGAATCCGTAGACGTGCGTCTGTGCCCTGTGCCCCACTCTTGGATGCGTAAATGCACGCGAGACTTCCTCACCTGTGTGGCATAAAAACATTTGCTTGGACACGAGCCCTTGACATGCATCAAATGTATCAGCCTCGATGGGAGTTCTTTACGTACCTATAGCACTGTACAGATGGCAAGGCATGAGGTCTCATGTGTGGTTTAATTTGATTCTCAGAGTGTTTATAGGGTAGGTGGTATTATCCTCCCCATTTTATAGATGAGAAAACCAAGGCGCAGAGAACTGAAATCACGCCAAGGTCATGGACATACTGTGGGGGGGGGGGCTAGAGTCTAACGCCTAATAATACCTATTATCTGTATCTCATTAACAGCTTTCCCATCCCTTATCTCATTTCATCTTGACATCAGTCCTGAGAGGTTTTATCTGCGTTTTGCAATTGAGATTCTTGATTGGTTAAGCAACTCCTCCAAGGTCGTAGTTGTGAGCTGGGATTCCAGCCTAGGTCTTAAGACCATTCATTTTTCTTTCCACTATGCAACTCTGCAGTAAAAAGGTATCTTGTTATAAATCCCAGGCACTTCTCTGAATCTGTCTCCTGAACCCGTTAGCTCTCCATTACTTGTCCTTACAGCAATTTTACATGCTAACTTCAAAAGGTAGCATACCACACCTTTGTTCTTCCATGTAGAAGACGGCCTTGTAGAGATGACTGATGGCTCCCTCTGTGAAAACACTCCCGACACCAGGTCACACCTGAGAAGTAACATCTTTCTTCCTTTTGCTTGCTGCCCATTTGTAATTTCCGCTTCTGTGTTTGCTCTGTGCCCACCACTGCACTTTGTACACTTTGTAGTACTGAACTGCCAGTGTGCCATTTCTGCCTGGGGTGCAGATCCAAAAGTAAGGCACCTTCATTCCCAAGTAATCTTCCCAACGACCCCGTGAGGAAAGTGGTGGTATTCCCCATTCCACAAACGGTGAAATTTCGGATAATGTTGCCCCAAGTCCACACAGCCATTGAAAGATAGGGCTGAGATTTAAATCTAGGTTGTTTGACTACTCTTTCTACAGGACTATACTGCGTTCTTTGGGAGCATGCATGGATTCAGTTCTCTTCATGTCTTAGCTCTTTCACTTTTTGACATGCTTTACTGTTGCCTATCTACCTAATTTAGGAGAAATTCAATGCATAGGTGTACCTATTGTGGAGATTATATTCATTTTACTTGCTTTATAACTGCTTTCCAAAAAAGATTTGAGGCAGCTGCAAACTGATTTTCAAAAGAAACAACCAAAACCTTGCCATTGTGTTGAATCATTTAGTATTTGTTTAGCACTTATGTGACAGATATCTAGCAATAAAGAATAACTTTCTTCCATAGGGAAGGGAGGAGGAAAACCCTCTAGCTGGATCTCATCACCTCCTTTAACATTTTCCCTCCCGTTCATGTCTAAACTAATTAGAACTCCAGATTTGCTTCCTTCAATTTATCTCTTCCTTTGCTTGATCTCCCTCCAGATTGGTTACTACTCCTGGCCAAGTGCTGTCAGCTTAAGTTCTGGGCATCTCCAGCTCCCCTTTCACATTGGGAATGTCTTTAAAGTTATAATGCTAAATGTGTATTATCTTTTTAATCCTCACCTGAGGATATGTTTTCATTGATTTTTTAGAGTGAGAGGAAGGGGGAGAGAGAGAGAGAAACACTGATTGTGAGAGAAACATCTATTGGTTGCCTCCCATACATGCCCTGACCAGGGATCAAACCCACAACTTAGGTATGTGCCCTGACGAAGAATCGAACCCTCAACCTTTTTTGGTATACGGGACGACGTTCCAACCAACTGAGCCACCCATCCAGGGCCAAAATGTATTTTTTAAAGGTAATATTCCTGAAGTGTTCAGGAGGATTGAACATCTTTCAAGCCTGAAAATGCTCTGACTTGATCCAGACCGAGTCAGCTCCTTCAGAAAAGAGTTCTCATGTTTAATGCTGATTATAGTAGGTCCAGAGTGCAGAGAAAATTTCATTTCAGTGGTGGGGCTTTGCCCCTCAAGGCAAGAGACATTGGATGCAGATGGACAGGAAGGGAAAATATGATTGTTGTGGTCCAGCAATAAGAATGGGGAGATGGAAGTAAATTGTCCGGCTTGATAGGAGTGGAGTCTGAAATCCTGAAAACATGGCTGTATACCGTGTGCTTCATTTTCCCTATCTGGAAAAATTGAATTCAAAAATGTTCAGAATAAAAGGTGGTTATGGGGCACTGAGGAGTCTAACCCAAGAGGGAAATGAATGCTATGGAGAGAGAATGATTGGTTCATTGTTTTGGGGGAGGATGTTCTTTATGTTACCTTATTTCTTTAATAAAGCCAGTCCGCAAAAGGAGGCAGTCAAGTGTAGTGGAGAGAAGGTGGAATTTGGAGTCAGATAAACCTTTTTTCATATCTGCCATTAGTTTCACGACTATGGATAAGTTATTTTAAGCCTGAGTCTCAGTTTCCTTATCTGTAAAATAGGAATAATATCACCTAAGTTATTCTGAGGCTTAAATTAATGAATTATAATGCCAAACACTGAGCACAATGCACCTGGAGGCATTCACTGAGTAAGTTACAGTTCTAATGATAAAGGTACTCAAGAAATCCTGTGGCCCAAGCACAGGCTTTCTAGCCAGACTGCCTGGACTCTTGAATCTCAGTATACCATCTGTGTGGCCTAGGGCAAGTTACTTAACTTTCCTGTGCCTCAGTTTATTCATACGCCAAACAGGGATAATAATAGTGCCCACATCTTAGGTTTGCTGTCAGGATTAAATGGGTTATATGTGTAAAGCACTTAGAATAGTGCTTGACTTTGAGAAGGAACCCACAACTTAGTTTTTGAACAAAGAAAGGCAGGAATTAAATGTGTGCCACTGAGTTGACATATTTGACATAAAAGAAATTGGGGAATATACTCCATTCTTTCTCTTTAATCTTGACCCTTGCACTTTCTAATGGGTAGCAAAATACCTTGTACCATATTTAGAGCAACATTTACCTGTCTGGTTCCAGGTAACATTTAATTTCTGCTGTGTTACAGAGACTCTAATTGCCAAACCCTCTTGCTTCATTCACTGACCCTGGTTATCATGGGGAGAGGGAAGATCTGTTTATCCCAGAAAAAAAAAAAAAAAATTGCCTCTCAAGGGCATAATGCAGGTTGACTCAGCAGAGGAAAGTATTTTTAAAAAATAGGAAGAGTGGTGGTTCTTCCATCTTTTCAATTCACCTTTTAACATTTATTGAGTGCCTACTATGTACTATGTATTATCTTAAGGACTTTCACATGTCATCCCACATAATCCTCTTACATTAAAACTTAGGAGGGAGATAAAAATATTCCCTTTTGGGGGAAATAGAACATTGAGGATCAGAAAGACAAAGTGACTATCTACGGGCTCAAGGGCACATGGCTAGAAATGGCAGACCTAGACTTCAGGTTTCATTTTCAGGGCTCTTTTTGCAAGGCCATGTTGCCTTTACCCTGCCTATTCTATGTTTTTGAGCACAGAAGAGAAAGGTTTTTCAGTGCCAGTGCCCTGCTGCCTGTGGCGAATATTGGACCCTAATCACCTCCACTCCAGTTATAGAATGAACTACGTATTGTGCTAGTCTAGGCTGTCCAATCTCCTTCTCCTCTTTTAGGACCTATTCTGATAAAGATTTAATAGAGAGATTGGTTGTCATCATTACGATTATCAACAAAAAGTGGTGATCCAGGACCCCAAGATGCACAGTAGTATAATTCTTTGAGTCATAGGATACTTAGACCAGAGGGAACCTCAAAGATAATTGCATCCAACTCCCTCAATTAATAGGTGAAGAAACAGGCCTAGAGTCATCAACTATGATTATAACTAGAGAGATGGCCTAGTGGCTATAGAGGACACCTAGGTGTATGTTACTCCATAGCAGGCTCCAACAGGATTCTACATTAGAAGTACGGCAAGTTTATGGCCAAATGAAAGGTAAAAGTTATTTAAGATACAGGCAGGCAGGTCTCCAAGAGTTGGCCTCAGAAGAGAGGAAAACCACACTGATAGAAATGAGGTCTTCATTTATGTGCTAGAAGAACCTGATTGATAGGGACCTAATATTGGGACAGTTCTAGAAATACAGCCTCCACATTTGAATAGAGCATATAAGTGTCCTGTACCATGTAAGAGGACTTGCTTTCCACTCTGAGGTTGAGTTCTGACTCTGAATTTATTCCACAGATTTTTGCAGAGGAGCATTTTAGTGGGCTGTTCCTTTGTTGTACCTTGTTATTTCCAGATGGGTTGTATAATCTGAGTTACTGGCATTTAGTTCTAGAAGTAATCTCTATTCATGAAACACAGCAACACACAGACACCCCAATTAGGTTAATTCCTTTGTATCCTTACCATTTGAGTGTATGTTTGGAAATCTATGAAATAACTCCTAGTTGAGTATTCAGGCACATCATCATCATAGGCCATGCAATGATGACAATAGTGGTCACCTGCTAAGGTGCAAGGTGCTATACATAAAGAAGGAAGTTCTGACTGGTAGAAAAGTTGAGTAACTTGCCCACAGTCACACTTTTAGTAAGCAGCAAGATTGAACTCAAACCCATTACTGTCTGACTCATGAGCCTGAGCTTTTTGGAGCCTACAGGGGCTAGTCTTCCTAGTGAGTCCGGTGTTTCACTGAGCTGTTCCACCTTACTAGATCTCTAAATTAAACAATGGTTTTAACTCTTTATATTTAACTTGTTGCTCCTGTTCATTTGGAGATTAAGCATATAAAGAAGGTAAGGTGGTTGACTTTGGCTAGCAGTTCTAGAATGCATTTACAACCAGAAATGTAGTGCCCCTTCCCCTTCCTTTCAGCTGTAGAAAGGGGGTAGAATAAAGGTTAGAGGTACTGAGTAGGTTAGGGGTGATAGGGGTGATCTAAGTTGGATAAAAGAAGCCAGCCTTAAATATCTTTGGATCCAAACAATCTTAGAGGGCTGAGTTTCTTAATAGATTGGCATAATCAAAATTCAGTTTTATTATTTTACATACCAGTATATCTTCTAATTAAATTAAGCCCTCATGCTATTTAAACAGGGCTTTTGAAAGGTTTTCTTTCTTTTTTAATGTTGTGGTTTTGTGACAGGATCAGCCTTGCATTTAAAAAGCAACAAAAAAATTAGTCCTTGGTACTATTCTAAATTATCACCTTAAAAGATTAATTCTATATAGAAACTGTTAAAAATCTATTTTTATAACTTAGTGAGGGTCTTTGAAAAAGATTTCTTTTTCTATGCCCTTTCTGTAAATACTGAAAAATGTTTACCAGATCCATTATATTGGCAACTAGGTTCATTTATTTCAGATAATTTATAGAATTCACATATAATGGCAAAGAATAAGCTTTCGTGGTTTCCAAGTACAATTATTTATTTTCATTTGTATTGGACCTTTACTAAGCTTCAGTTTACAAGCTTAGCCTGATGCATGGTGCTTCTCTCTTTTATCTAATGTCGGTTTTCACTAAACGTCAAGTCTATAAATGCCTAAGTTACAGCCTTCAGGTTTACAACTTGTTCTTTCTCCCTTCCTCTTCTGCTTTTCCTGTTCATTCATTCAGCCATTCATCTCACCCCAGGATATGCTTATCGATTTTTTTTTTAGAGAGGGAACAGAGAGAGCGTGAGAGCGAGAGAGAGATCAATGTGAGGGAGAAACATCGATTGATTGCCTCCTGTACATCACCCAACCAGGGATCGAACCCTGAATCTAGGTATGTGCCCTGACCGGGGATCAAGCCCACAACCTTCTGGTGTATGAGAGGATGCTCCACCAAACTGAGCCACACTGGCCAGGGCTCATCTTTTATTTTTAAAATTTCCCTTTTAATTATAAAAATAATATACCAACAGTGAGCTTTGTAAAAAAAAAACCAAAAAAAAAACCAGAAACTCCCATCCCTATACAATTGCTTTTATATTTGCATTTTAACACTCAAGCCTTTGTTCAAATGCATCCATGTATTTATGTAGATACTTTCATCATAGACATAGAAATATAATTTGATGTTTTTTTCTTTCTCCACTTGATGCCATCATAAGTAATTTTCCATATTGTTACAGAGCTTTTTAGCCATCTTTTTAAAATAACAATATAACATTCCATTAGGCGGATGCACAGCAATTTATTTCATCAGTCTCATGTTACTGGATATTCAAGTTTGTCTCTTTTTTTCTTCTTTAATACTAGATAACACTGCAGTGAATATGCTTACATATATAATTTTTCTCTCATTCTGGATGATTTCATTAGGATAAATTTCTAGGAGTAGAAGTTCTGGGTCAAAGGGTATGAATATTTTTATGGTTTCCAATATGTGTTTCCAAATTATTTTCCCTTTTAAAGTTTGTGTCAGTTTATACTGCCGCCAGCAATATCATGCTTGGATTATTGATGACCATTTCTCAAAGAGCTTTACGTCTTCAGTCTTGCTCTGCTTTGACCTGGTCTGTAAGCTACTGCTCAGAATATTCCAGCATGCTCTACTGTTCACACTTTTTTCAGAGTCTTCCCCTGGATGCCTGTTACCTATCTTGCAGTTCAGATATACATTTTAAAACCCAACCCCTACCACTCGACATACATAATTTGTTTTAATTGTTTTGTACTGTGTGTGAAGCAGTCTGTCTTAGGTTTTCTCAGTGGCCCTTCTCTCTTACCTCTAAGTCTTCCCTCTGACCATTTCTTACATTCAGAACTGCTGCTCTGTCAGCATTTCTTCTCCATCTCATTAAATTTCAAAAATTGCTTCTTCTACAAAGTTGTCAATACAGAACCCCCTGTAGAGATATCTTTAGTACTCAGCATACTTAACTCCTGGTGGGTTGCCAGTGTGTGTTAGTATGGCCAGTGAGAGAAATACAAAGGAAAGGCAGAGAGATGTTCAGTGGAGATTTTAAAGAAAAGCTTAGGATTCTTAAAAGCACTTGGTTCTTCTGACTAAAACTTGGAAAGAAGAATGAGGAATTTGGTGCTCTAGTTTTGGGCACCGTCACTCTTTCTGTGACAGTAGACAAGTCAGCTTACCCCATCATCTATTTTAGCTACGGAGTGGAAAATACAGTGTTGCCACCAATCATTTTAGGAGTCATGATACTCTTCTCTTTTAGTTATTTTTTCCCTCAATATTGTTGGTTTCACCATCATTATAATCCTAATATTTACTGTTTACCATGTGCCAGGCACTGAGGTGGTGAGTTATATGCCGTAGCTGTTTTAACCCTCACAGCAGCTCTGAACCAGGTATCCCTTCTTTTCACATGAGAAATTCAGTTATGGAAAGTTTGTTACTTACTCAACTAACTAGTAAATGATAGATCCATGATTTAAACCTTCATTCTTACAGAATACTTTTTCTGAATATTTTTTTCCCTATCTATAATTCTCTGATTTCTTATTACATATAACAAAGAAAGTACAAACTTCTCAGCAACATTAAAAGGCCCTTCCAAATCTGTCCAATTTACTTTTCCATTCTCATCTTTCCTCACTCCCCTCATGTGTCCTATGTTTCACTCTGCCAAAGATGCTATTTCACAAATATATCATTTCACACATCTGAGCCTTTGTTTCTACTCCTGCAGTGATTTCCATTTGCCTCCTGGCAAACTTCTATTCATACCCCAAGGTCCAGTTCAAATGCTCTATGCTGCACACAGAGCATTCCAGATTTCCCTGGGCAGAGTTAGAGGCTTGGTCCTCTGTGCTCCTTGTTATATATTTCTGCTGTAGTCTTTTTATACTTCATAAAATTACTTGCTTAAATGCCTATCTCTCTTACTTTAATAATGGTGAGATATGATATGGGAAGGCAACATTTTTACAGAGACATTGTATATTTTTAAACAGCCAAAATTAAAAATCTGTGTATTTAAAATAACTTTGTTTCCCTTTTTTCCCTCCCTCAGCATAGGGCTACTTTCAAATTTGAACCAACAGATGAAGATAAAAGAAAGGTAAGCCTTAGTGTTGCTATGTAAGAGTGTGTGTGTGTGTGTGTGTTTGTGTTTCATTCATGGACTTTCTAAACAGTGGACTTGTTTTCATCTGAAGGTTACTTAGTTTTTGGTTTCCTTCCAGTTTGTTTTTTAGGAACTCTGAGCAGAAAGCAAGTACCAGGTTTAGTACACACAACTCACTCCTGCTCCATCCCCACATGACCATTACACTTGGATAAATCAGAGCAATGGAGAGGGTTCATTTAATGGCAGGACTGCAGGCTGCCCAAAATGTTTTTCTAATATTGTAAAGCTTGGTTTTGGGTTCAGTTTTGGGAAAACAGCTGTTAATGCTGCTGCCCCTTAGCCACACATCGTTCCCTGTCCGCAGTTATTTATGTGGTCAGCAATTGTCTAGGTCACTTCAGGGGCATAGAGGGAAATGGAGTCAAGAGACTCACCAATAGCGGAGTTATAAGAGAAGTTGCATCAGAGCTATGACCATGTCATGTGTGTTTCCCTGTTGGGTTGTCTATAGTTGCTTTACCTAGTTGATTTGAGCATGCTGTAAAAGGAGAAGCTCACCAGTTTTATCTGTGTGTTTTGCTGGGCTGCGTACATCTATCCCTGGTTTCATAGTTACGAAGACCAGGTAAGAGAACATGACTGAATCAGTGTAAACCTATCACTGGTGCTAGAAAAATAGCTTAAACCTAGTGCTTTCCTGGTAGTGGTTTGATAATACCTTGAAGTCATCCTTCTACTCACCTCTACCCCCAACAGGTAATGTTTATGCTCTGTTTATTTTACCTCTTATGTTTTCTTTAGTCCATTCTCTCGTTAACCCCTGCCTTATTTCCAGCTTTCATCTGGATTACTGCACCAGTTTCCTAACTGTTCTTTCTTTTTCCAGTTATGTGCCCTTCCAGTCCATTGTCCATAAATCTAGAACAACAATCTGATCGTGTCATTCCCAGCCTTTAAAACACCTGAGTGACATTTTTTGCCTATAAAGTTCAAGCTTCTAAATGTGACATACTAGATGCTTAGTGACCTGATCTCTGCTTACCTTTGCAGCTTACTTCTCTCCCTTGTATTTTATGCTCTAGCAATATGAACTGTTTCCAGTTATATACACATACCTTCTGTTTCTTATTTTCTACCTTTGCACATGTTGTTTTCTACCCAGAATGCCATTTCCTTCGTGTGTATCTCGTCTCCTTTTCACCTTGTTAATCCTACAGAGCTTCACCAGCATATCCTTCAGGAAACAACCTCTGGCATTCCTGTTAGGGTGAAGTCTTATCCCTTTCAGTATTCCCATAAAATTCTATGTAAATCTCCAACACTATGCTTATACATTGTCTCAATTATGTATTTCTGTCTCTTCTTATTAGACCCTGCAAACTCCCTGATGACAGATAACTGTTATTTATCTTTATGTCCTTGACACCTGGAATGTCCAGCACATCATAGGCACTCAAAAAGTATTACTGAATGAATGACATGGAGAATAAAACTTCAGAAGTTAAAGGTTTAACTCTGATTTTCTTTTGGATTTGAACAGTTAAATAAGACTAGGATACCTTTTAGAACTGGGATTCTCAACCAGGAATGTGCTGTTTGGGGAACTTTTTAATGAGAGGCCTTCTCGAGCCTGACCTTTTCTCTACTGAGCCAGAATTTGGGGAGTGGGATCCAGACATGTGTATTTTTATAGATGGTGTTCAGGAAACAAGTACTTGCACATTTGGTGGGAGTGCAAAATGGGACAATTCCTGTGGAGCAGAAACTGGCAGCATCTCCCAAAATTACAGGTATAGTTTGCCCTTCGACCAAGCAGTGCCACTTTTAGAAATCTGTTTTGTGGATAAGATGAGCTCAAGTAAACAGTTATTCATTGAAGCATTGCACATAATAGCAAAAGGTTGGAAACAACCAAATGTCCAGCAATTAGGGAGTATTTGAAGAAACTAGAGTATATCTACTTAATCCAATACTATGATGTGGTAAAGAGAGAGGGAGAGAGACATGGAATACTCTGATGTACTAATGGGGGAGAGGGGTAAGTGAAAAAAAGAAGCATGTTGTTAACAAGTACATTTTTGGCGTACTCATAATAGGTATTCAGGCTAGGAAGGCAGCTGCTATTAACTTAGTTTAGTTGGGAGAATCCGCATCTGTAGATTTATGGTGCCTTCGGAATCTGGCACTAGAATTTTTGGTAGTGCTTTTACTGGTCAAAGTAAATATATTAAGACAGAGGTGCCCCCACTTCATGTAAGTTTCAGTTGAGGGGGAAAAAATTCCCACACAGTTATTGATAAAGCATGTTTATTTCCTATAGGATAGTAGCAAAAGCCTAACACTTTCAAAGTATTGTGTTTACTGCCTTTTAGATCTTTGGAGACGGTAACTACTGTACTGGTGTTATTTTCAGTTATAGTGTGCAGATTTCTGCTTCCTGAGAGTTCTGTATAAACAAATGTCATTAGGGACCTAGCTAGGTAATCGTCATTAATGGAAAAACATTGACAAACAAAACCACTTCAGTCTCCAGTGGTTAAAACCATTAGTGACTCTTTCATGCCTAAGGCCCTAAAAACAGTTTGACATCAAAACTGTTGGACTACTCTAAAGGATCTGTATCCTAACAGTTTTTTACGTTCTCAATGCAGAGACGTAGAATAGTATGCATGTCTCCACATTAAACCCAGTCTGTAAATAAGAGGAACTCAAATTACCATTCATTTTGTTTTGCTACCCTAGTTCTCCTTTTCTCTTTCCTAAACATGTCTCTGGAGCCTTCGTACAGAGCTCCTTGGTAACTGCAGCACCCCTTTCGATAAACTACAGGTGCTGTCTCTGAAAAGCACACCACCTTTCTTATGTAAAACCTTTGACAACTTAGAAGTAAATGTAAGGGAACAGAGCCTTTCAAAAAATAAAAATTATACTGAGATTTTTAGGAATTAGTTATAAATCAGTGATCCCTAGACCTAATTTCTAACACTCATGTAGTGTTTTGCATTTTTACAAAGATTTGCTTTGTAATAGTAATGCACTAATGGTATAAGTATGGCAAAAATGTCACCATCCCTATTTTATTGATAAGAAAACAGGATCACATTAATAACAGCTTGCTAACACTCACTTAAGTCATAAGTGGTGGAGCCTCAGGCAGAGAACAGATTTTCTGACTATTGTGTACAGCTCCTTCACTGACTGGTCAGTGCTCCCACTCATTACCACTTGAGGGGTATTTCATAAGGTTTGAAATTATGGCTCAATACCTTGTTTTAGCTCTTATTTCATACCTTGAGACACCATTTAGACAACTAGACTTAAATTAGAACTAGCAAAGGAAATTACCAACTGGGAGTGCTTAAATTTTTCCAGGTAAAGTCAGATACAACTGCTCTTTGTGCATATATGCAAATAGTTCTGGGTACATGTGGATCATTATAGATTTGAATATAAGCACCTGTGCTTACAGAAGCATTTGCTCTACATTTTCTACCTAAATTGGTAGTCTATGATTATCTACCAGCACATAAACAAATATATCATGCAAATATGTAGGATAGGGGGAGGTTTGAATAATCTGAAAATTTACATTTTGAAGAAACAAAAGCTCTTATATTGGTTTCTAAAACACAGCTGATCTTAAGACCAATAAAGTACTACATAATTGCAATAAATGTTGAAAAATACCTGTCATAAAATGAGCAAAAGAATTGCAGCTCTTTCACCTGTAAGATGAGAATACAACTGGATAAAATGTGGAAAATTTCAGTTATTGTCTGATATAAATCTTTGTGTATAGTAATTTTCCTCAAAAAAATGAAGTTAAAAATAGCCAAATTTCAAGCATTTATTTTATCATCTTCAAACTGACATAGATAAGTCCATATTTCTGTGCAATCAGAGTAATTGCTGAGTTGAAAATACTTTGACAAGAATGTGCTTGCTTACTTCTCTTTGTATTTTCATCCCCCAGTACTGCATGTGGCACAAAATAGGCACCTACAATATAAGCACCTGTTCAGTGAGTGAAGGGAACCTGGAGATTGAGTGGAGACCGCAATTCCTCTGACTTGTACATATTGTTTGGTGTTGAGATCCTATACAGTAGGATCTCAAGTACATCTCATAATGTTGTTTACTGAAAAAGTAGGATACAAAAGTATTCATACAGTATGATGACAACCATATAAGACTAATAAAAACTATACAAAGAAAAATAACTACAAGGAAATTCACTAAATGGTAACTATGTGAATATTATTACTGTGGATATTTTCCTTTCCCTTGTCTGTAATTTAAACTTTTCTGCTATATTAGATTATTATGACATAAAGTATGATACAATATATAACATGTATGTTATATATTATATTCTTTTATAATAATGTGATTGGAGACATAAGCAAAGACCAGTACTTTTTAAAAAAATTTATTTACTCTAAAATTGAGCCTTCTTGATTATCTTACACATTCCCTTTAGAGGAGCATAGAAATATATTATTATGTTTAGAGATAGTATTACTTACAGTCAGTTTATGGAATGAAATAAATTTATATCAGCAGAGTTCCATGCTACCATTTGAAATATTTCTTCTGTTTTAACTTATCCCCCCAGACTTGGCATATTAGTGGAGATCTCTGTAGTCCACAAGTCTTTTTTCAGTAATTTCTGTATTCCAGGTCCTATATTAGTTTTTGATTCCTAAGTTGGCTATTTGCCTATGGTGTTTGGTTTGGCACTTTCTTAGCTACTGAGGATTCCCATTGTGGATGATAGAAAATGAATGGATAAATTTTCATGTAAGATTCTCTCATGGAAAATGTGTCAGCATAGAAACATTAATCCTATAGTGTGGATCCATGCTTAGGAATAACTTGAGGCATGGAAGTTGGTTCTAAAAGCCTTTTACACTTATTTTAGTCATTGGAAGTTGTTGTTAAACTCTGATTTTCACTAAAACAAATGAGCTTCGTATGCCTTGCAAATTTGA